AAATAAGGACACTGTGTACATAGCTGTGGGCCGAGTGTAGGGAAATCAACCTGAGATGCCGTAGCCCAGGGCTGCGAAGGGGCCAGGGAAGGCTTCTAGAAACCAGAGCAAGAAGAGGGCTGCGTGTGAAGTGGGCCTTCTGAAAGGATCCTGGCCTCTGGTTGAGAGACGTAGCCAACCATCAGAGACCCCCAGGCACAGGTACCCCTCCTTCCCCTCCGACCTCCCATTCCCCCACTGCTGCTGTCCCTTGGTGGATCCAAACCAGGAGCTGGAGAGCAAGGGATCCCTCAATGTCAGTCTTCGTGCATCCGAGCTGAGTGGAGAGTGGACCTCAGGGCTGGGTTAGGGTAGCCAGCATTGAATGGGAGTCCATGCCTTTATTTCACTAATGTGTTTCTCCAACTTGGGAATTCACAATAGATAAAAAATATAATGGATCGCATTGCTATGGTCTCATCATTTGTTATCTGCCTGCCTCTCCAACTGGCCCCTCCCGTGTGTCGGTGTGTGCCAAGTCAACGCAGCGGACCAGTCCTAAAGCTCAGACAGGCAGCCTCCAACCTTCTCTGTGGTGGGTTGCTGAATCACCTGCTGGATTACTTTGGAATGAAAGACCTTTTCTTTCATCTTAGTTATACTACCCAAAGACCCAGTTGCTGTCCATGGTCTTTAGTTAGTGGACTTTTATCAGTACATGAACTTGAACTTCACAGTTATTTAAATGTTTGTGGCCACAGATATTTAAATGTTTACTATAACTTACCTGGGGTTTGCTATTTATACTTGTTATTTACATCAAATACATGCTACCATTTTTGATGTAGTGATGTATACTTTTTAAAGCTTCGTTGTTTTTTGTTTAAGATTTCACTTATTTTTAGAGGGGAAGAGAGAGAAACATCAATGTGTGCTCACCTCTTGTGTGCCCTCTACTGGGGACCTGACCTGCAACCCAGGAATGTCCCCTAGACCGGGAATCAAACCAGACTCTTTGGTTTGCAGGCCAGCACTCAATTCACTGAGCCACACCAGCCAGGGCTTAAAGCTGTTTTAAGAGTCAGTCTCACACCATCCCCTCAATAGAAAAAAAAAATTTATAGCCTATGTGTCTTGGATTAAGAGAAAAACACACACACACACACACATACACACAACCAAACATGTATTTCCAGCTACATCATGGCCCCTTATACCTTTAATTTTTGGGTTTACAGGACAATTGTGATTATGTTTGATGGCAATCCCTTGCACCTTTTCAACGTTCTTACTGGTAGAATGCCGTAGGGTATGTTTACCAGAGCTGAAGAATGCATACTGCGGTGTGTTCACTGGGACTCAGCAGAATGTCGGGTTCTCATTTGTTCCTATTTGTTAGCTCATTTGGTGAACTTGGCTCATTTTCTATAGCATGGACTTGGTTTGCTGTTCTGGAAAGAATACTTTCTTTCTAATGATGGATCTGTTAAAGTATAACAAAAACTAATAACACCCCACTATCTAATGTTCTCTTCTACAGAAGAGTACTTCAGGTTTATTAAAAGAGGCTTAATTACTTGAGCCAAGGTACACCCTCAACTGTTTCCCAGTAACTACTACAATTTATTACTATGGCAATTTTCTAAAATCTCTCTTTGGCGTCAGCTGTTTTAAAGAGGTCCTTTTAAAGGCTCCTACGAGCGGACCCTTCACTGTCCAGGCACTGGCCTTCCTGGTCTGCCACGTTCAAATGGAGAGATCCTTTCCTTGAGTCATTGTATTTCATCCTTAAAGCTGAAGAACAGAAAGTCAGAGGAGAAAGGGAACTTAGTTCCACCCATCTCCTTCTACAGACGAGAAACGAATGGCACATAGAAGACCCACAACACAACCTTGGACCCCAGACTTAGTAGAGTAAAATGACTCATACGAAATTGCCATTGTATCAGCCAAAAAAGGTCAAGTATGGGCTGTTACACGTAGTCAGCCTAACTACATTGTTGCTCAAGATCCAATCCTCTTTCTGCTCAGCTAAATGAAGGAAACTGAATTTGCACAATCCTATTTAGAGTTGGGACCTTAAGTTTGGAGGAATGGTTACGTGTGGTACAGAGATATATTCTCTTTGGGGACAATTTTTTTTTGATTGCCAGCATTTAAAAACCAAGAATTAAGTATAAACATCCAAATTCTTAGTTTGATAATACACCATGCTGTTTGCGTATTGCTGAGTTTGCTGGCCCCACATTTACTGCAGTCCCTCCTGCTGCCCTATGCCTCCCACGCAAGCGATGCTCCTCAGTCATTTCTTGCCTTGCCTCGGCTTGCCTGTCATTGTGCCAATGAGGAAACAGGTGTCTTGTATTGACAATAATATTGGAACAAAACATGGTTTACCTAAAGGCTTCTTCTGCAGAAATAACCCCATATTTAGAGTTATAAGTGATTAAAAATCTACCAAATATTATTTCTTTGATAGGTGCTCCAGATCCAGAACATTTTAACAGAGGAACCAAAAGTCACAGTGGCTTATGCGGAAAACGGCACAGTGTTGCAAGGAAGCTCGGTGGCCTCTGTGTACAAGGGGAGACTGCTCATTGGCACCGTGTACCAAAAGGCTCTGCTCTGCGAGCTCTGAGGGGTGGGCGTGCGCCGTGCCCCGGGAGCTGCGAGCCTGCCGTTTCAACTGCTCGCACCTACGGGAGACCACAGTGATCTCAGCTGAACGATGAACACGGACGCTACATGAGGATATTGTTAAGGATGAAAGTGCTGTTTAGCTGAGAAATAGGATGTGTAAAGCTGGCTGAGTGTACAGTATCAGATCAGTCTTGGGAGATTTTAAAACCTAATTTATCAGAAAAAAATCCTTCGCAATAAAATGGTTAATGTTGTCACATCAGGTGTCAGGTAGTAAATCGTGTGAACTGTATGTGACCCAAAAGATGCTTTCCCTAAGACCTGTGTTCCCTAGGCACACACGAGCTTAGTGCTGCCTTGATGGATCCTGTTCCCATGACAGGCGAGCAGGCCCTGGCTGAGCGGCTCAGTTGGCTGGGGTGTCAGCCCGCACACCAAGGGGTTGTGAGTCTGATTCCCAGCGAGGACACACACCCAGAGGGTGGGTTCGATTCCGACTGGGGTGTGAATGGGAGGCCACCAATGTGTGGTTTTTCTCTCACATTCATGTTTCTCCCTCTCCTTCCCTCTCTCTAAAGTCAATAAACGTATCCTCAGGTGAGGATTGAAAAATATGAATATATACACACACCCCTATAAGGTCTTTTATAAAAATGAAGAAAGAAAAAATAAAAGAGGAGGGCAGGATGGCCTCAGCAGTCATCCGAATGCCAGTGCTCAGCCAGGAAAGTCCGGTTCACGCGCCAGAAAACCAGGTGGTGCACGAACGACCACCCTCCACTCTGGGCCGCTCCCCCCGAGTGAGGCCACTAGACACACTGCGGAGCCAGGCTTCCATTCCCCACCGTTGCAAATGACGTTCTTTGTAAATATGAACTTGAATGCCCCGACTCTCCTCTGACGCTTGCTTATTCAATTCTCCTCTAGCAAATGGCATGTGAGAAAATCAAAATTCTTGGGAGTGTTCTCACACTTGAACATCATCATATGACTGTGTTACATCAGCACAAATGATACATTTTAGCTCCTTTAACCTGGTCCAAGGAAGAAGTTTGTTCACATGGGTGACTGGACAGAGTGAAGCCCATCACTGATTCGGGTTAAGCTAAGTGCCCCCACAATGACCCTGTGGTTGAGGTGCTGGTGGTTCTTTTTCTATTCTAACTCGCTGTGGAGGCGAAGAACACAATAGAAAAGTAAACAAATACAGAAACAGTACCTTTGCCTACCTTCTGAGGGACATGACTCTGAAGAAAAGGAAAAAATATGGCTATTATTTTCTTATAAAAGCCGCCTGAAGGTAAGGATTCCAGGCTGGATGATTTCTCTGGGATGTTAAGGCAGCCACGTCAGAAACAAAGTTTTTCTAAGGCATTTGCCGTGATGATGGTCTGGCATTTGGAGGAACATGTTTTGCTGATGAACTGAGAAAGGCTAATAGTTTAAGACCACTGCCTTCAAGTAATCAACAGGAACATTTTGTTCGGCTTGAAAAACACTTTCCTCCCAACCGGGTAGGAGTTGTTTTTAGTCACCATTTGATGAACGTGATGTCATGTATTTAGTGATGCAGTTTGTAGCCCTCGACGCCAGATTCTCAGAAATACTGTTTTGAACCCATCAGTAGCTGTGCTGCTTAGATTAAAAAAAAAGGCCACATTATTTCCTTTAAAAAGAATAGCTTGATATGATCAATAAAATGACCACAGCCTGTTCTCTCATTTTTAATAAAGTAAGCAAATTTGCCCCCCAGGCCCCAAAAGGGAAAGCTACCCGTCTAACATGGCTTACCCTCAAGGCCATCGAAGAAGGGACCATCCTTCCCCTTTATTGCATGGCCAAAGGGTTTAGTCACATATATTATGGGGTGTGTGCGCCTGTGTGTGTGTGTGAAGGAGAGAAATGAACACCCCTCATTTGATATATTCAAGTCTTCTCACCACTTAAAGCTTTGGAAACAAAATTGTTGAAAGCAACCCCATTCTCTGGGACGGCCCGATTCTTAGCTTGCCCCACCGACCACACCGTGGGACCGCGTGAGGCCGGCTGCTTGAGGATCTGTCACCGACCTCCTCCTGGCCGACAGGTGTCGGAACCTGTGATGGCAAAGCCACGGTGGGAACAGAAAGACAGGCGGGGGAGCTTCTAGGGAAGCTCTGATCTTTTAACTTCGTGCCCAGCTCCATAACTGGGCTTTCCACGTAATTCTTGCTGCCAATTTACACTTTACCAGGGCCGACACTTATCTTTAGTTTCATTTCCATGGAAAATGTGCACTTTGCTCCTGATGGATAGATGTACTTTGACAGCTGGTGCAGGTTTACCCAGTCAAGGCTTGTGGAAGGTGCAATGGAACAGGGACAAAAATGGCGGCGACAGACTGTGGTGTTTCTCTTTTTATTGCATTCGCCGTCTAACAACAACAATACTCATTGGCGAGAACTTTATTTACACTGACAAATGGGATTTAATCACACGGGGTTTTAGATTGGTCGGAAAACAAAGGATATTTTGCTTCGAATGCTTCTGAAAACCAAAGAGTAAGAAATGCCATTTGAAACAGAATGATCTAGAGAAATACATATCAACCGAGCACAGGAGAACAATTCAGACGCGGCACTGTCGTCTCTTCCATGCAAATGATCAGACACCGAAGAGCACAAATCATAAGTGTCAGAGAACATGCTGTCCACATTTAGTGGACTTAAAATTACTTTCAAACCACTTTTTGCCTTTATATAAAGAAAGAGTCAAATAAATCAACTTCTCACAGAATTCATTCTCTCTCCTTCTCGTCTTTCAGCTGGTTAGTTTGTCAGTCGTATGCAGCACGCACACCTGTGGTTTCATTGTAACTCCATTAAAAAATACAAAAGCAGTAGTGATGACCATAAATAATATCCAGGAAAACATAGGCATAAATATTTAAGGGATTTCACTGAGCACTAACTAAATCTTATGTTGTTGGGAGGTGTTACCTCGCCAGAGTGCCTCTGAATTCCCACTTTTTAAGGTAATTTAATTATCTTTGGCCAATCGTTCTTTCATACGTGAAAGCTTAAATCCTTACCAGAAAACCCAGGTGTATTAATAAAATAGCTGAGAGAACGAGGAGTGTACACCTTCCAACAACACACTCACACTGACATCCATTTGGCAATGACCTACCCAGGCCATTGCTTGGCAAAAGGGAGCTAAATGTCACGTGACGGCAACGCCGCCGTCAGAGAGCCAGTAGTTAGTGACTTAGGCATCACGGCTACTGAAAATGTCCTAGTAGAGCAGGAGCGAATGCACAAGAACACACAGTGCAATTTTTAGCCAAGGAAACTGCAGTCTGCAGTTGAAAATGCCCAAAGCTGCATAAACTTCTGAGTTTCAACTCAGCAATGTGCAATCTTGACATCAAAGCATTAACCAAACACTTCAGGAAGTTTTATCTTACTAAAATACCAAGTTTCTAATTAATCAATTTTACCAAAATATATAGACATGTAGAAGGATAAGTGCATTTAGTAGAAGAAATACATTAAAAAAATCTCTTAAGATCTTATGAGCCATTCAATGTATATACAACACAAAAAGTGGCAATAAGGCTATGATTACTGCTGGGTGTCCTAACTGATGATACCAAGTTCCAAAGACAATATCTATTTTTTTTAAATGCCATGGCATTGCAGTATGTGTGTGTAAGGTAGAAGATATAGTCACACATATGTAGTCTGTATATCTACACAAGTGGCATGCACATTACTGAGACGTTACCTCTTGTTCTTTTTTTCCCTTGCCTCTTATTCATTCTCGAATCCCTAGCAGTTTGGGGGTTGGGCTTGGGGTTGAGCCAAGGACTGGAAATCATCCTGTTCCTTTCCTTGCCCACTCTGTGCCCTTGGAAGCAGGGCAGGTGCTGTGCTTGGTATGTGAGCCTTCAAGTAGCAACCATGCCCTCAATGCACCCACACGGACACCATGCACAGGCACGCAAGGATCCTCTGTCCATCGTCAGGTGGGACCTGCTGCTTTCATTTTCCAGGTGGAAGCTGGTCTGTAGGCTTTGTCCCTGCCCTGAGACTACAGCTGCGTCTACTCCTTGCTACTACTTTAAGTCATGCAAACACCACCGGTGTGCTGTCTGGTGTTATTTTCTTCCCCAGTGTTTTGGACCAAGACTAAATTTCCTGAGACTTTAAATAACTAAGACAAATATAACTACAATCTGCCTGCAGAACGTGGCGGTTTTTCAGGAATGAATCGCAGCAACCGCATTCATATTTCTTACGCTTTTTTAAAGAAATTTACTGCCCGCCCCATCATCATAATGAAAACAATTCTAGTCAAAAATATGGACATGGGATTTCTGGACCTCATCCTTAATGGCCTAGCTTCTGAAGAACAGTGTACAGGTAGGCCCTTGATTGAAGGTAGGTTTGAAAAACTCAGAAAGCACTCAGGACTTAGCATTAGTTCGGGGACGGGAACCTTAGTGACCGCTGTCTACCACAGTGAAACGTCCCTCATCTACAGCTCTCTTGGGGCAGTTTACGGAGTTACTCACATGAAACTTGGTAATTCTTAAATGCCTCCACGTAGCAAGGAAGCTATAACACCTTCAAAATGTAGATACTTCTTTAGAATTGTTAGGACACCTCCCTTAAGAGTCTTCTTGAAAACTACTGTGAAATACTGAGTTTTTCTCTTTTGAGGCTTGGTCTGTTATAACCTGTAACACTTCTGAATGAGTTAGAATATCCATATAAATGCAGATTTTCATTTACCTTTTAAAATATAATTTTTAAGCACATGCTAATCCAATCACACACACACGACCTAGGTGAGAATTCTTTGTCTTCAGCAAAACCCACAAAGGCTAATTATGATCAGACGACCTGTGACTATTCTTGTAGATCGGGCCTGGGATATCTCAAGGTTTCAGGCTGGAGACAACTGCAGTATAGGCAGCAGCAAAGGTTAATTTGGTTTCTCTCTCATCCTCTTGCTACTTTGTTTGCAACAATAACAAAGGAGCACCAGGTAGGTGTTCCCATTTCACAACAAGTCTGACATTAGCACTGGGGGTAAAAATGCTTATGTGATGTTGAGGGCAGGAAATTCATCAACCCTAGCTAAAGAAACATAGCCTAGAATAACTTTACTATCATAAAACTAGAGGTGGACTTCATCAATCTGTTAGAATGGGCAAAATTAGGTTTCTCTCATAACTTATTACTCTGAAAATAACATCTGATTCAGGCAAAGAAAATAAAAAAGAGTGAGAAAACTATGACATAAACTGTGAACTACTTTATGGGAGATAGTCTTAAATAAAGTAATTCTGTTACAAAGCTAAAGCCCTTCAATGGAAAGCCCCACCTGGATGCTGAGCTGATACAATGCTCTTGGTCCACAGCTTGGCCTCACCGCACATTCCCTGCCCCCCCAAAGCATCACCTGTACCCCAAAACACTCCTGGCTACTGTCAGTCATACAGAACTGTCATTTAGGGAACATATAGTTCATAGTAACCAGATATTCCTTTCACTTTGATCAAGGAAAAAAAAAAAGGCAAAGTCTTCAAGGTTCACGAAGCAACAGTTCTGTGTTAGGTTGTACGGCACTGAAGCGCACCAGCTTTGAAGCAGGAGTTGTGTAAGACACTGGGACCGCGGTGAGGCGTCGTGCACTGGTGTGGATAAAGAAATCGTAGGGAGACAAAATGCTCACAAGTTCTGAGGTCCTTCCCTCTGTTTTCATGCTCTTTCATCAATCAGCTTACATTTTATCCTTTGTTGGACAAGCAAATTAAGCGCCTCTTATAATTTCTTCAGCAGTCTTAAATAGTAATGTTAAAAATAACAAATTAAGGTGAAAACTACTATAATTTAACTTAAAAAATCAAAATAGTTACAACACAAACTAAGTGATCTGAAGAAGAAGAATTTGATTAATAATATTGTCAGTTGGTCATTAATTTAAATATTGGAAGGGTACAAATAAATTGAAGACAAAGAACAATATTCTAAGACATTTAAGAAAATGCAATATACTAGATCATAAATTATGGTCAGAGACTGAGACTTATAGACATTTCCAGTATATACAATCATTTTCAAATATTACCAAAGTGTAAACATAACTTAAGATAATCATCCTTCTATTTCCATTTTTAAAATGAATACAGTGAAACTTCCAGTGTGATCCAGGTCACTTTTTTCAAAGACAAGTAAAAATGGCAAAAATTTATAATAGCAAGCAGGAGTAGTACCAGATTTTGACTACTTTAGTCTTTTAGTATTAGAAAAAGTTTGCTGGATTTTGTAGTTCATAATAGTGGTTCCTTGTTTCTCATGGTATTAATAAATAGCAAAGCACCACACGTCTCGGAACAGTAACAGAATATCCAGTACGGTAGTTTCATTATCACACCCGGAAATGAAGGCAGACAGGAAAAACATACGTGGTGACGTTGCTCACTGTAAAGCACAGTGTAACTTTTGGCCAGTGTTACTGAGGAAGGAGGGAATGGTCTGCACCGAGAGACAAAAGCACTGGAAGTTTAACAGATGATACATTTGGGAAAGAACAGAATCGCAATGTTCTAGTTTAGACAATTCCAGATTTCGAATCTTCAGGCAAGCAAAAAATAAAATCACAACGTTCAGATGTGAGATGGGGCTCTGTGGGTGGGAGCCCTGCATTGTCTGTTACCTGTAACCCCCACAGGCCCCTCCCCAAGCTCTGCGTATATAACATTTCCAGTGGAAGGTCTGAATGGAGACTCTCCAAGTAGTATAGGAAGTGAAATATTTGTCCAAGAGTTTGCCTGCCCTCAACTCTCATTTCGGAACTCGTCCCTTGGAAAGTGGATGACCTCATTTTCAGAGCCAGTGCAGCAAAGACAACCAGATATTTAGACATAAAAGGCAAAGCAACAACAAGAACGAAAATAAGATCCATAATTGGGAATCTCTCACGATGAGTTCTTTTTTCCTCCTTCTGCTCTAGTCCCCGGCACCTGAATCAGGCGCTGGTGTTAACACAGGCCGAACTGCTTCCACTGCCTGACTAGATGCTGTGCACTGCCTTAAACACTCTTTAATTGTAAAGTGAAAATCTCTGAAGGATGGAAGAGCATGGCTCTGAAAACCACTGAAAGCATTGCTAAACGTAACTGACAGCTCTCCTTCGCAGGGACATTCTGTGCGCTCCATGAAATTGCCTCTCTGGTTGAATGTTACTCAAATCTAAGTTTCCTCAAACTGGTCCTTCTATTTTTCTAAAAAGTACATTTGTTAAAATACTAACTGAGTCCACTTGGGAAATCTTTTGAGGAGAAAATGTGTGACGAGTTCCTGACTGTGTCACAGTCAGGCTGAAGACTAGCCAGAATGTTCCCCAGGAGAGGAAACCTGAAAATGTCGGTTTCCTTAAAAATCAATTTCCTGTTCAATTTGTTGGGGAAAAAGAACTGTGTGGAGTGTGCCAGGGCCGCTAAGATCCTGAAGCGCAGCAGTTACAAAGCAAATGACAGATCCCAATATCCCATGGCTGCCTTAATATCTTTTTCCTTTGTTCAACTGAGTCTAGAGGATAAATGTTACCCCTAGAATCACAAGGTAATAGCCACATCTATATTCTTAAGGCTTCTGCTTTCTTTTGGGGTTCACAAATAACTGTAATTCTTTTCTCCCTTTCATATGCCCAGCAAGCAGGACAGTCTGCTTGCCTTTTGCCACAGTAGGTAATCTTGTGGCAGAACACCCAGGTTTCTGTGGTGGGGTTGTCTCACTGTCCAGACACAGAAATGGGGGAAACCTTGCCCACACACTGAAGTGGATCCTGCAGCCCCAATCTCGTGACAGAGTAGTGCTCTTAGCCACACAGCAGATACCAATGCGCAGGGTCAGGACCCCATTCCAAAAATTCACGGCACTCGGCAACAACCCACGCTCTTGCTGGGCACTGTCATGCTGGCTTTTCCCTCAAGTGACGCACCCACCCACGCAACACAGCACAAGCTATTGGTAAGTCAGAGAAGAGGGAAGCATACCCAATTTGCATCTCTCACAAACGAACTCCTTGGTTTGTTAATGAACTAAAGGTTGCCCGGGGTTTTTTTCAGTAGGTTAAAATGAAGGGTATTCCGTTATCACAGCAAATGCAGTCATTCAACACGAGGCTCCCCGACCCGCCTCCACAGCACATTACCCCGTCATCAGTTTCTTCTTCATTCCTCGGAGGAGAGCAGGGCGGGAGGAGGGCAGACTCTCTGGAGCACCCGCACCTCCTGGGCGGGTGTGGGTCACTGCTCGCCAGCGCCCTCTGCTGCGGCTGTCGTCTTCTCTGTCTTTCTGTATTTCCTCTGCATTTGCTCCTGTTCCTTCCTCCTCAGCTTTTCTCTTTGCTTTTCCATTTTCTCTTGAGCTTTCCGAGCCTTCTCGAGAGACACCTTCATTTCCTTGAGTTTTTTTTTGACCACTGCTCGGTCCTGGGATGATGTCATTCCAAGAGCCTAAGAAGGAAGTATAAACAAACTGCATTTGAAAACCAATGACCCCTCTGTTCATGATGAGGTCACTATCACACTATGTTCAAACTCAAAAACAAATTTAAACATAATTGAAGGGGTCAAAACTGAGCAAGAGCCGATTCCAGGTGCCGAACATCCACAAACTGGGGGACTAAGATTGATGTGTTCGTTTGTCCTTTGGAGTCCCTAGCACACTACTCCCTAAACCTTATTAAGTCAATGCTTTCTAATTAGTGGGCAAATGAATGAACAGAGGGGCACCATTCTGCTTTTCCACCCTTTAGGCTGTGGGCAATTACAGGTAAAAGACAGGAGTGAACGTCACGGCCACAGGGCTCTGAGAAGGGCAGGGAGGATCGACAGGGCTTCCTTCCTGCCAATGTATTCAATTACAGTGGGGACCAAAGTGTCTGCAAGACCACAGTGCTCATGTCAGCGTGGCTGGTCACCCTCTCCCTGCACACCTAAACAGGAAGCCTGATTATCATGAGGAGGTTGCTCCTTGAGCTTGGAATTCTGAATAAGGAGAGCCAGATGCGTCCTTTAAATGTTTATAACCTTCAGAATCAACAGCGGGATGCATTCATCTCCCCAACAGAGACAGCCTTGTCAATGGAGCCTTGATATTCACAGGATATTGATCGATCTCTAACCTTTTCAAGACTGTCAAGAGATACTCCTCTGCCCATCCACCCAGGGAGAGGCTGAGAGTGGGGGTGGAGAGCTGGCTGTAAGCTCCCTTTGCCCTTTTTCCATAGGGATGGTGGAGCTGCCTCCTCGGGCTCCGCAGAGAGGTGGACTGGACAGGTGAAAATGAGTGTGCAATGGAGGTGGAGGGAAGACACACCTACACGTGTTTGGGGAAGAAAATTCTGGGGAAAACATCACCCTGGTTTCAGAGTGGGGTGCCGGGACGAGCAGCGGGTGGAGGAGAAATGAATAAAGAAGGGTAGACTCATGGATTTGGGTTTTAACTCTTACATGATGGAAGAGTCCACAGTGGCCATCATTAAAACTCCTACTACACGGGAGTGAGTGGAGTTAATCCATGGACCACGTGTCCCTGGGCGGGCGCAATGGAGTGAGTCCCTGGCTCTCCTACTCAGCATCCTACTCTTCAGAACCCCAGACGACTTTCCAAAGCTTCATTTACTACTCAAAAATGATTCACCACCCTTTCTGCTGACCGTCAGTGAGAATTACCTCCCCCATACACAGAATGCTCGTATCTAATGAAAACACTTTAGGTGCTCTGAGTAATACAAATTACACTTGGTAACTTAACACAGATATATAATTCTTTACCTTCAGTTTATTTCCATCCAGCTGCAGAAGTTGCTCTCCAGTGATGTTTTGGGCACTGAATTCAGATACATACTGCTCCAGATTTAGGCTCATCAGCCAGTGGGAAACCTGCTGCACGCTCCACTCCTGCACGGCCCGATTCTGACACTGACTGTGTTTGGGAGACTGTCCGTCGTCAAGGATCTGGGGTAGGAATGTTACGCAGTGCTGTTAAAGGACCAAATGTGCCGGCACAGCACGGCGCACTACGCTCTCAAAAGGAATTTCTCGCCTCCCACGGCCATATTGACTCTCCCCCCACACACCGATAAGCTAGTGGTTCCAGCTGTGTACGTAATGCACACACATAGCTATTACCACCGACATATTTTTAGATCATTGAAAATTTAAAAATGCCCCCAAATAAGGCAGCATTTTTAATGTGGGAAGTTTAATATTGACAAATACACTCTAATGTTTCGAGCTTCGACATTAAAGCACTTTGGAAAGATGATCAGACACAGAAAAAAATATTTCATTAATCCCTATATGCGGTGCGTCCCCCTACATTTCTTCTCTGACAGGATATTAGAGATACGTGAAACCATATTTAATGATACTGTAGCATCCTTCACCTGGATGAGGAAAGCGCTAAGCCCGCAGGCACTGTTAGGGGGAAGTTCCACCGCCATTATTTCATTTGGGCAGTGAGCAAACCTGTGCGGAAGGTGGGGCGGGTAGCATCCATAATTACTTTCATTAAACGAGGAAACTGAGGCTCTGCAAGTGTACGGATCTGTCCAATGCAGAATATTATTTCTAATAGTGCAAAGGGCAGGCCGGCTCCCAGAACCTCTAAGCTGAGAGGAGATGAGGCAATGGCGGGTCTGGGAGGAGACATAGAAGTCGCCTCAGTGACAGGCGGAGAGAACACAGAAGGGGGGTGGGTAAGCCGGGGTGAGGGCAAAGGAGCTGAAACAGGGAACTGCGTCAGTCGGGAAATGGTGACGGGGACACGTCGCGGGGCCCCGGAGACCCTCTCGAATCAGAAACACCGTTTAAACTGAGATATAGGCAGGGGCGGAGCGTGCAACTACGGACACAGGGAACTCCTCGCCTACAGGGGCACGTGCTCTCGTATTGTGTGAGTTTTAAACCATCCACACGAGAGAGAGGAAAGAGTCAAACCATCCCCCAAAGGCACCACAGGCCGACCCCTGAGAGCTCACCTCGTCATCTATCATATCCAGGCTCTGAGTGAGGGAGCGACAAAGGAATCAAAGAGAAAAGTGTTACAGACACAGGAGACCCAACACACACAGTACAGAGTCTTATAAAATTAAAGTCATGCCAAGCCCGAAGAAGGTGGGCAGAAAAGTTTAAGAGAGAAAAAAAAGTTTCATAAAATCAAACAAAACATGTCAGAAAGGAGTAACTAAAAACACATATTAGGAACAAACATCTTTAGTTACAGCGCTTCGCCTCCTCCCTTCCACCCCAGGACTGGTTATTCCTTCCCCCTACTGAACTCTTGGGGCACGGAGTCAACCACTAATGAAATTTCCTGCCTCGCTTCTGTGCATTTGTTTCCTGAGGCTTCTTAGCAACGCTGTTTTGACCCTGGCTTCTAAATTAGTGGTTCTTACCTAGTTACCCTTCCTTATCGAATGCTAACTCTCCCCCTTCCAACGTAGGGATTCTTAGTCAGGGGCCAAGCCCAACTCAGAGGGGATATTGAATTTTAGGGTGAGGGTCATGGTGGGGAAGGTGAACGGCAAATCTGTGAACTCCATGAGATTTCTGAGCTGTTTCCTCGTTTTTCTCTCCGGTGCCCTGCCTCTCAGCCCACGCCTCTGCGGAGAGTCATCCCATTTACATCGGAAAGGCCGGGGTTCTCGGTATTAAGGGAGGTCCCTGGGCAGCTTCAAGGGGCTCAGAAACAAGGGGCTCATGAAAACTTTGCTTTCATGTGCAGACAGAGAGAGAAGGAGAGGACAATCCCCAATTAAATATGAAACTGTGGACCTGTGTTCTACATGCAAAGTCTACCTCAGCACGTTTTCCCTGGGACGGTTCATGGGCATCACATGGACTATCCCGAGTATGACCGAGAGAGCAGCCCTGTCACACGTGCCATGAGCATACCTCGTCTGACGACAGTGCCAAGGACTGAGAGAGCCCTGGGGTTTTGGGTTCCGCTCCCAGGCCGCTCAGGTCTGCCGAACTGGTACTGCTGGGGCTGAAGTCATCGTTGAAGGTAAAATTCTGTAAAAATAAGTGGGGCTCAGCGTTACATGAGCACCGTGAAGGAACCTGAGGTAGGTGTGTTCACCAGTTCTAAAAAGGTGATTTTGAAGTACTCTGAGAGGAAATGCATTTCTGGTTTGCTAACAACCTCTGATCAGGCAGTGTTTCAGAACACTGCACCTTCTGAGGTGGACGGGAAATTCCGAGCGCTTTCTCCGTCGGATGAAAGGAAAGGAAAGGCATTTTGGGGTAATGATTCTTCAATCTCTCTTCAAGGGAACAGCATTCATTATCCCCCGCAACTGCTCAGAGGAGTAATATTAATGATCCTATCTTCTTTGACCCTAATCGTGATGAGTAACAGTGTGAGTAAAAAATACAAGATGGTGTGGAGAGCTGAAGTCATTAGGAGCAGATGGCGACCCCCAGTAGAAAGGTAGGCTGAGTGCCCCCTGGGAAGGAGCGCTTGCTGTGGGCTGTGATAAATACTGTGAGGAATGGCAGGCTTCCTCCTGGACGTAACCTTCAAGATGATGTGTTCTGGGGGAGATCACAATCAGACACGACACCGGTGACGTGCCGAAGTGGGACCCCCCCCCACCGCACCCTCGGAGCGCCAAAGAGGCCTCGCCTTGAAGAGACATCCATTCCCAGTAACTACCTGGCAGTGGGGGCATAGAATGAAAACTCCCCCAGAAGGTCATTAGCATGTTCAGTGGGTATCAAAGTCCAATAAATGCATAACGACTACGCAGCTGCATTTGTGAAAATGCTTTAAACCAGACCTGGAGTCTCTCCAGCGTAGATAACGGTAGAATTATTCAAACAACACTGACAGATATCAGGTCCAATACTGAAAATGTTTCAAGACCAAAGCCGTCCACTGCTGTCCAAACTGCTTTTCTAATTCTAGAATGACTGGCTTCCCAGGGACTCTAAGAACTTGACCGACACCATCTTGTTTCTTTAGAAATTGGACTCTTAGTTTTCCATTACATTCTCTTGTACAGGGTTTAGTGGGTTGTCAAGAATAAATACCTTGCCAGAGGCTGGAGAGCTTACTACCAAACAAACTCCAAGGTTTGCTAAATCTTCAGAAGAGGAAATTAAATCAGAACACACGGGCCTAGATTGGCAGATCACCACATTACCGTTTGGTATCGTCAGTGGAAGCACAACCCCAAAGCCCGTCAAAACCCTGTGAGCTGCTGACCACAAGAAAAGTGTTAAATTCAAGTAACATTAACCACGTTAATAACTTTCTGTTTGAGAAAGTGAACACAGAGGAAAGAAGACCAAACAACATGTGAAAGTTAGCAACCGTATGTGTTTCAATAAAATGTTAGGTAAGGTTTGCAGTGTCATGCTGGAAACAACCGTCGTGCATTTAAATACAAGTAGCATCCATGCACGTAATTTCTAATTCTGCTGAAGTTAAAGAACTTTTGTGGTAGAATTACAACAGCTGTTTGACATGGAAGTCTGATTTAAAAGAAGAAATGAATAAGGGTGCTATGTCAGCATTGGTCTGTTTTAAAGAGTTTCATTTAGATGTATTGAGCACAAATTCGGCCCCAAATTTATGTGTTTTCCTGTAAATCTGGAAGAGCACAGCAAAAATAAGTTTTGTAACGTAATTTAAAATGGAATACTTGGTAAACAGATCTATCACGCTGTGCCATAATTCAAATGCATCTTTCCCAGCATGGCTTAACTGTCAAACTGAGATTAAATAGCAACACGTGAAAAGACAGGCAAATCAAAGATTAACGCACAATCTAGAATGGAACAGTATTAAAGAAGGTGATGGTTAAATGAGGTTTTCTTTTTCCCCACAGAAAACACCATGCAAGGTTTATTGCAGCGTTATCACATTGGTTTCTTGGGTCCGGAGCACACACACAAGTTGAGAATGCTTTCCAAAGATTGAAGAGGAGGAAGAGATTTGGGGTTTTCCTGTTTGCCTTTTTTAATCCATGTGTTTTCTACCTTGGACCCCTTTTTATCTGAATTTAGAGTTTCAGGAGAAGGCTGGAGGGGACTTGTAGGTGAAGGCAGGTTCCTGAAGGAATAGGATCCTTTGCGGCTTTCAGGAAACCACGAGAAAGGCATGCAAGGCGAGCGTGGGGAGGCGGGCGCTGCGGAGGACGCCGTGGGCTTCCAGTGCTCCAGCCTGCCTCTGAAGACCCTGTTTGGGAGAAGAATGGGGGTGTCAGACAAAGAAAGGACAGAGGGCTCCTGAAGGGACTCTGAGCAGCAGTTGAAGGGACAGCTTGGGAAGTTGCCCTACACAACAGATAAGGGTAAAAACTTTTGCTCTGGACTAGAATGCTTATCTTACTTGCTATCTTTTTTGGATTTTGCACTGATAGACATTTTCGTACTGCTACTGCCATGGCAAGTTTTTATGAAATGTGCCTAATGAATACAGGGGTGGGCAAAAGTAGGTCTATAGCTGTTCATATGGAAAGTAATACAAAAATTAGTAAGTAATAATACAGGAACGAACTCAGCGTTTCACACACTCACGACCATGAACTCCCCTTGCCCCGCCCTGTGTGTGTGGGTGCATTACAGTCAGGGAGGTGCACAGTCGTTGAGGACCTGCTACCTGGTTAGTCGTCACAGCTCACTTTGTTTGGGTCACACGTCAACGCTTCACTGCTAGTGACATTTAGCTCATCACCAGCATTCTTTCCTGGCCTCCTCTGAACTCATGTTCCCAAGAGTCTACACCTTAGAAAATGACAGACTTAGAACTTGGAAATTTCAGGGCTTTAGATCCTTTAAGCAGAAGACACCTCTTGTCAGTTCTTCCTCATAATCCTAAGAGACTTTCTGAAGGAGGAGGACCAGCCTGGAAGTCTCCATCCTCTCTACTCAGAGGTCCAGGCTCCGCTCCTGAACACAGGCCTTGCAGTCCTCTCAGTCTCTGTTTTCTTATCTGTAAAAGGTGGATATTGTAGGTCTCTCGCATATGGTTAGGAGATAAATGAGATAATATGTCAAAAGTGCTTTGAAAACTAAAATGTTCTGTGCTTATTGTTAACATTCAAAGGCACTTGAGAACAGTTTGAAAACATATTTTTCCTAATATCTTACATGTTAGTATTTATGTTTTGGTTAGAAAAAAATATTAGAGGTGAGGCAAAAATGGGCAGTAGTTTCTGCGCATGTTGGAAGAGGTCCCCCTCAATATGTCCAATGCCTGCAATGTGTCAGCAGCTGGTGCCATGACCTCGGAGAGACTCCCTTTCATTTAAAAGCACCTCAGTGTCTTAGCTGAACAACTCATGTCTGACACAGATACTGGGTATCAGCCTGCCCACGTCTTATTTAAAATATGTTGAAATATTGCATATTTTTCATTTACACAAACAGTATCCTAACAATACCTGTTTATTCCCAAAGATTACTGTGAGAATCAAATGGGACAATAAATGGAAAACATCTTGTAAACTGCAAAGCAACATACAAAGGGGACGGGATTGTAAAGATGGTAAGTAAAGAAGTCAGTGAAGTTTTGGCAGAATACTGACATCACAGGTTGAGAGAGACAAATTGTTGGTCACACTAAAGATTCCAGAAGATCTGATGATATAAACGTTGTATTTCTTAAAACACAGACACACACACATACACACACACACACAGGTGTCTGCAAGGACAACAGAGAAAGACCAACCAGAGAGATGTGTCAACCTTCAGTTTCATCCTAAAGTTCTGTGCCCCTAAACCCACCTACTTACCATCTACCAAAAGGATGAGAAGAGCACCACAACTGAAGCTGAGGCAGTGTGCCAGCAGAGGCGACTGGTCCTCTGCAGGAGCTGCTTCCCACTGCTGGGGGTGGGCTGGCCTGGTAAGACTCAGTGGGACGGCTGTTCAAGTGCAGACTCTCGGACACCCAGACTTACTGAATTAGAATTTGAGGGAGAAGAAGGGAGGAGTGGATCTGGGGTCTACTTTAACACATATCTGAGTTCTTAAAGTTTTTAATATCTGTATTTATTGACATTATCCTGAATGCAAATGAGGCTTCTGAATCATAATAGGTTATTATTTACTTACAGAAAATTGTTGCGTTGGTTCCCTGTATTGTAATTTCCTCTCTCCAGGGTGACATAATGAGGACCAGATGTTACTTAGTCTACACTGTAGGTGAGAGATCTAAAAAATATGAATCCGATGGTCGTATAAAAGGTAACAGCTGCCCGCCCCCTCCCCTCTGAGAGGGAGAGAAATCTACCTCTTCAATGTATACAAATTCAATTTGGGGAGGAGCTTGGGTTCTTAGCCACGGGAAAGTAATGTACGCCCTGGGAGTGGATAAACAAGGATGTCCCCCTCTACGGCCTTGGGAATGTCTCCGCAGAGATGGGTCTCATCCTCCTCTCCCCGCCCCCACTCCCTGAAAATGTAACTACATGCCTCTGGGGTTAACTCCCCGGGTTTGTCTTTTAGCTCAGGTCCCACGAGCCAATAAAAATGCTGAGAAAGCTCTAGCTGTATAGAAATATAAAAATATGTTCTCTGTACTTTCACACTCTAATAACTGGCCATTTCTGAAATAACCTGACCTGATGATTATTTTTCTCCTTTGGCCAAACATTTCTGAATCAATTAATCAAAGTAACAGGGGACATTCTGCAGGAGTTCCATCCACAATTCCAGTGAGGCCTGGTAGTCCTTCAATACATGGATACTGTCCTCAAGTTCATGAACAGGCTGTTATTAACGATAGCATGTCCATGCTGTCCTATCCTCAAGTGCCTTTGTAACAATACTTTTACAACCACCACCTTTTTTTTTAATAGGCAGGAAATAAGAATATTGGTGTTTAATTTTTGTGATTCTAATAATTTATTTAAAAAGAAATTTTTGGGGTTCAAATCCTGGCCTGGCAACATTTCAAACAAAATCTGAAGACCACATCTCAAGACTTTCCTAGAATTCCCGCTGCCAGGAATACATCCCAGACCGATGACACCGGCTGGGCCTGGACACACGCCACTGAAGACGGGCCTGGAGGCCGAAGCAGGAGCGGAACGAAGGGGTTCATGGAGCCCAGCCGCAGGGGATAACCAGAGGCTTCCCAGACAATGGGAGATGATGGGAGGCACGGAGGAAAAGTCGTGGAGAGAACAGGGCAACCTGGCCCCCGCACATGTGTACATATCCCTGCCTCTGAAACTCCATGAGCTGATGTAACCTGTGTGTTGGCCAGTGTCCACAGAGAACTGACCAGTGGCACACTCCCATTTGCTTGGACCTAGAGTAGATCATTCATTTTAAAAAGCACACTGTCCATTACTAAGATCATAGACCTGTCAGCGTACCAGGCTTGCCTTCAAAAATACGTGCCGATTTCCTTCTGGACAGATTGAACTCCCGAATCCACAAAAGGAGCAGAGGAGCTCTGGTGACAGTTGTTCCATTATTAACCACTCTCACCCTCTGTTCCACTTTGTGGGGAAATGTATAAGAATAACAAAGTTGTTCCTTCCCTTTCTTCTTTTTCTTCTCTTCTCATCACCTTTCTTCACATTTTTTACTCTGGGGGCAGGTTATGGGCTAAGGCACATAAGGTCTAGACACATCCTTAATAACCCCCTAAGAAAATCAAGATTGATAAAAATAAAGTCTTAATGCATCTGAAAATAATTTCTAGAACCTTAAAATAGGAATGTATTCTGTGTTTCCTTCACTTTCTTGTTTAACTTATACACTAATGGCTCACTACCATTTTTGGAAAAGTAGAACCCCAAGTCATAGCTCTATTTCTTACTATTTTACTGTTCAGCCCTGGAAGAAAGAATGGCTTGAAATGAAGTCTCTGTGATGCTAAGATGTCTTTGGGGAAGGGAAGGAGGTGGGAGGTAACTGTTTGCTGCCATTTAAATAGTTTATAAATAGTTTACAACTTTACAGAACCATTAACTCACTATGTACATCTTGAAACCAGTTCACCGTGGGGCTACACTCCAAAATTAAATTACTCAGGGTAACATTCCATGGAGATTTTTTAGGGGTTTGATTTTAACTCTGAACACAAGGTACAGTATTCAGAATCTATCGGATGCCATGGAAATATAATTAGGAGTTCAGGAACCGCCTGACAGAAAAAGCATAAACAGAACATAGAAGTCAAGCAGGTAATAAAGGAGGTTAACTGAAAAAGGTTAGAGGCAACCAGAGGAAAGGTTGCGGACTTCCATTTATTTACTCACATTAGGTGAGGTAAATCTGTAAGGTTCTAACATCTGCCAAGGAGACTGAAGTTGTCAAGCCAGTCCTTTCCGGGGGGACTTGGAGACACTCGAAGGGAACGGCTGTGAGGAGCCCACAAGCACCTGCAGCCCCGGCAACGTCCTGGACAGATCCTGCTTCCAGATCGTGAGTTGTGGTCTCAATCTCTGGTCAATATCAACCGTCTACCCGAGACGGTCACTACGGAGTGTTCAACTTTAAGACAAGGTTCAGGACAGTTGCCCCCCGATACGGCACCTTGGCATAATTCGAGAAACGGCCCATGTAGCAAGGGCTCTTGGACTTGGCCTGTCTCCTCTGAAGCAGGTCGTAAGCCCCTCAGGCAGTGGCTGCCCTCCGTACAGGGAGGAAAGGAGCGTGTGTACCTCCAGAGATTCCAGTAGGAATCTGCATGACTGAACACACCAGCCCCGCTAAGCTTCCCAATTCTCTTTAGCTGAGACCCTTCATCCCATCCCAGCCTCCCACGACTCTGCACTCTCCATGCAAATACTCAAGCTCAACCCCCTCTTTGGGTCTTCATTTCCTTATGGAGGCTTCTGTGTCACACAGGAATTGTATTAAATATGTCGATAGGCTTTTCCCTCAATAATCTGTCTTCTGTCAACCTAATTCAAGGGGTGCAACCAGATTTCCTAGGAGGGGATGCAGAAAAAGATTTTCTTTACCTCCCTACACTCATCTGAGATGGAGACACTGTTCCCTTAACGAGTCCTTCCTGTACTGAGAAGGTTCAAGACGCAATAGCAAGATGATCATGTAAATAAAATCCGTATCCTCGAAACAGGAATGTTAAGCTTAGGAATAATATGTTGCTTAAGATTTAGAAAAAAATGTATTATTATTAAAATTCCGAGAGAGAAATCTGTCTATTGATTCTAACTTAATATATTTAACTAATTTTAGATTTAACTATAT